TGTGTGTGTGTGTGTGTGTGTGTGTCACGCTGCAGCCAAGCTGAGTGAGAGTGACCATGTGTGCACAAATTATTTGCAAACTTGCTCATTCTCATGTTACATGTTTATCGGAGCAATCACCTTAGGCTACTTCATTTACTCTATTTTCTAACTCAGTAGTTGTCAAACCCGTTGTAGAATCGCTGCTGTTTCGTTATTGAATGGAATATTCACGTCAGACAATGCGGAGTGATAAATAGCAGTGAACGTTAGGACTAGGGATGTCCTGGGATTTTACTATAGTGCTGTCCATAGGCTACATGCTCTATAGTGAGAGAGGCGGGCAAAGGTATCCTGATGTAACTGTCCACAGGCGACTCACCAGAACCTCAGGAGCTCAGGAGCAACTGCTGCCGTCTCTCCCTCATCAGGCTCAAGATTAGGGCTACTATTGCCAAACATCTCTGTTATTTATTTTATTTATTTTTTTATTTATTTTTTATTTTTTTATATTTTGTAGCGTCGGTCTCTAAGGACTTCACTTTTTTTCTTTTAGCTTCTCCCAGCCGCCTTTGTCTTTATGTATTTTGCTTGTCATCACGAGCCCACTCTCCTTCGGATCCGTTTCAGTTTATTACAAGCAAAAAAAGATTGCATTAGCGCCCCCTTTTTTGGCCGTCAACGTCACTTAATGTCGGACAACGGCCGGTCAAGTCAAGTCAAGTCACTTTTATTTATATAGCGCTTTTAACAATACAGATTGTGTCAAAGCAACTGAAAAAATAGTGGAAAATAGTGTGTCAATAATGCAAATTGACAATAGTAAACACTAATTTTTCAGTTGAAGGCAGTTCATCATTGAATTCAGTGATGTCATCATCCAGCTCAGTTCAGTTTAAATAGTATCTTTGCAATCATTTGCAATCAAGTCAACGATATCACTGGAAATGAAGTGTCCCCAACTAAGCAAGCCAGAGGCGACAGCGGCAAGGAACCAAAACTCCATCGGTGACAGAATGGAGAAAAAACCATTCTGTTGTCTAATATAAAAACCATATATTAGCATCAGACAAAGCATGACGCTAATATACATTTTATATATTTAAAGATAGTACATTTTTTGTTAGTATATTTGCAATGTACTATTAAAACAGGTAATATATTACAAATACAATAAAGTATACTTTTTTCACTAGGGTAAACTTACTCTTTGTAAACAAGTAACGTTAGTGAAATTAAAGAGAGATGATTTAGCTCCATCCCTAATCCTGACAGTCTGGCATTGTCTTGTCAAAGTGCTCACTGTACATATTGTGCTCATAACACAATTTACTTTATGATATAAACTAATTCTTAAGTTTTAACTTTTATATTGCAATTTAAACTTTGATTTCATATAAAGTCTCAGCTTTCACAGCTTACTTGCGATATCGCTAGCTATTAATAGTCTGACACTGGTGGCTAATTAAGTTGTCAACATAAAGCTAAAAATGACCAAAAACCTTACAGAAACAACTGTTCAGTCCTGTGAAAGATAATACCCCGAGATCTATTTTTATTATTGTGCGACGGTTTGTAGATGCCCAAGCTGCCGACGAGTCAGGTATGTTTTCGCCTGTCCCGATATGAGAGTTGCCTTCACCAATATGGCGACGACATTAACGTACGGTCGAACGGCCAATGAGGCATCTAGGTATTTATTATGTCTATGTGTGAGAGTGCAAGTCTGAAAATGCAAGTGCATGTCTGCAGCCAGACCCTTCTCCAGAAAATGGTATAAAACTTTCATACAAAATTAATTTCACGAGTGACAAAACAGCATATCTGATAAAACATAAAAGTCTTTACTGTGTTTTCGCCCTTTTTGTCCTTTCTGTTAAATGAATGTTAAGTGCAACGCTATTAGCACGTGCTTCAAGTGCATCGATCGACAGAAAACTGATCACTTCAACAAATATGATTTAAACGGAGTATAAAAGCATAAAAGTGATTTTAAGCAAAAATGAAATTAGATTAATCAGAGCTCATTAAAAACCCACCTCTCCCATGCAGAGACAGTGCAGAAAGGGAAGAGGAGGTACAAAGACAGGAAATTAAGATTACTGCTGCTGTCAGAAATTTAAAGGGGAAGGTGCACGCACACACAGAGGCATATCAGGTACACATTTGAACATTTTTGTGTAATTCTACATATATGAACATACTACTTTCTATACCTGTTACACTTGGTCTGAGTATGGTTCACTTTTGGGTCCTTTTAGGCGGGTTTGAGATCACTTGGTTTGTTCACATATACGAGCTGAACTGCTCCGAAAGCGTTTGGAGGACTCAAACGAACTAGGTGTGAAAACACCCTTAGACTGTAGTCATGGAGCGCTTCTTTGTTTCTTTTCATCATTTATTCCCAGTTTGAATAGCCATTTTGTTTTTCATGCTACTGAAATAACCTATGTGAAGTCTTTATTGTCTAATCTGTAAAAAGCAATTCATAAACGGTTAATATTTTCCCCCTTTATTAGGCCTAATCGACATTAATGATCATTATTACAATATCAAGAGCAATATTCAGAAATAATTTTTTTTTTCATGATATTGCAGCTTCACCCTTTAATGGTTTAAAAAAATTTAATAGGCTCTTTACATTAGCTATGAAATTTTGTTTAATTATGTGTACATGATGTTGCAACTTTGCAGTGTAAAGATGGGTTTTGTTGATGTAAAAAATGAGACTTGTAACAGTTTAAATTTGACATATACCAAAAAAAAACATACATTTAATATGGTAGTTATAAAATTGCCCTCAAATAAGAAATGCCCCTGTGTAAATCAGTTAATTTCTGATGCTAATTTCTGAGTGTGATGTAAAGCAGGCCGAATGCTAACAAGCCTTAACTGACAAAAATGACCGTAGTGTTTATGGTTTGCCTCCAAGTCCTATATTAAAATCTTTTAAGGCATATGCTAGATGTGGATTATCCCTTACATATCACGTGTGCGTGCCGTTTGTTGTATAGGCTATATTTTAAACTAAACTTGTTTTGCTCTTGTGCCTGCTCTAGCGGTCTCTGTCACAACACGACAAATGGCACGTGCACATTAGCTAGTTGTGAATTTAAACTTCAGTTTAAAGCCCATGGAGAGCTCTAACAAACATAGAATTGATCACACCATTGTGATCACACACGTCAAAGGTTTAACAGCTGAATCGTCATTTGGGAATAAGATCACATTGGTGTTTGAATCAGGTTCACAATCTTTAACGATCTGTTAAAGTGCTCTGTCATGTTGGTGGTGACAGAACTCTCTTGCTGTCAGAATTCTGGACTGTTCTGTGTCGTGTTTTGCCCCTGTTTCCGGTCCTGTGTTTCCTTATTTGGTCCTTCCTGTTTCCATTAGGTTCCCTGATTGGTTCATCATTTGTTTCCAGCTGTGTTTAGTTAATTATCCTCATTTCCCTGTGTACTTAAGTCCTAGTCTGTTCAGTTTGTGTTTGTCAGGTCTACTCGTTCTCTACGTGTGTGGGCTCAAGCTCCTATTGTGGATTATCTCCTGAGTTTCCTTGATTAAAGACAGTTCTCGTTTGCTCGTGCCTCCTGCGTGCTTCCTCAACAGCGTGACGTGACACTTGCAACACGATGGCTTGTCACAAATATTAAACTTAGCTTTTGACTTATGATTGCAAATGTAGCCAAACATTGGAGCGCTTAAATTAGCGAGGAAGGTCCTGGCAAAATGCCAGGTCGGGTCCTCACAAATGGGAAAAAAAGAAAAGAAAAGAAAATATGTGCACATAGAAATCGATAGCTGGAATCACATTTTGTAATTTTACAACAATTATCTGATTCCTTCGTGTTGCATTGTGGTCTGTGGAGTGGCCTGAACTGTGCATATGACAGAGATTGACTTACTATAAGGAGATGAGAGGGTCTGTCTTACTTACTATTGGAGAAAGCATAACAGTCAACTTGGATCACGTGTGTCTTAATAACCAATCACATTACAGCCTTGACGTCATTGAATTTCAGTCAGAGTTGTGCGACACTCAGTCGCCATTTACGGATACCATAGGAATGAATGAGAAGTGCCGTAATCTGAATCCCATCTGTCGCAAAACGTCAGTGACTTCTCTTATAAAACGGCATTTCCCTGAGAAGGGGAACTGATGCTATGGGAGCACCCTCAGCCCTCAGCGTGACCGGTGTCTAAAGTACGTGTCTTAAACGGGACAATCTTGTTGGCCGACGACAGTCCATGAAAGCACTACTGGTGTTGAGTAAAAGAGAGCATCTGCAGTACACGTTATCATCTTCTTTGGCTGCGTTCCACTTCACATT